CCAGAACACTGCCCTTGTCACATTCACCGCCCAAGACAAGGAAAGTAGCAGTGGTAGCACAAGAAAAATCAGGTTAAGTCCCAAAAGGGGATAGTGCCTTCCCCCATTGTTTGTCAACAAACATCTGGGAAGGTGCAATGCACAGGCTCCTTCCTATTCAACATCGCTCGTTGCTATTGTGCAATTTTGGACGTTGAGCAAAGACCCACTTAGCGTAGCCTTAACCCTTGCTAGTGGATCTTAGGATCCCTGATACCTTCCCGATTGAGATCCTGTGGCGACCATGATTGGCTACCGCAAGTATATCTCCATTGCGGCTCCTTCGTCGCAACTTAAACCCAACGTCGGTCATCCGATGTGTCTCTGGCGGTGCGTGGTATGCGAAAATTGCCGACAAATTTTTTTTTTTTTTCAGACTAACCGTACAAGATAGTGTGTAATTGCTAGAATCTCCTTTTTATATTACTTAGCTGTTCGTCTTCAGGTCCTTTGTCATATCTCGGCCAGGCATTTAAGTCCTTCTCTTTAGGTGGGCCATGCGATCGAACATCTTGGTTTCAAGTTGCGATGCCATCACGACATCAGACGAAAGAATGAAAAAGAAGTGGTTGGGACGGATTTGCTGTTCAAGGTCTTTATGTTTCGGTGGATTGACTGTTTTATGAAAGCCCCTCTGAACTGGCACTTTGGCTGATTCGGAAAGCGGCTGTCGAATAGCTTGGTGCTGTTAAGAGCCATTCTAATGCCTTTGATGCTGCTTCATTGTTTTCCTTTCACCAAACCCGAAATTTGCATCGAGCATTGAACGTGAACAGCTTTTGAGAAGTCCATGGAAAACCTGGCCCAGTACTACGATGCCGGACATCTGTTATCCGCAAGCCTTCCGAAGCAAGGGCGGTCAACCCGGCAAAGGTACGTCATACATTAACATGCATGTACGCAAAAGAGGAGATTGGTTTGACATCATGCAAAGGCTGACCTTTTGCATGTTTGAATCCAGACCATATGCCTTGTGAGACGTGCATTGGCGGCTACCATGAGCAGTACCCGATCGAGTTACTCAAGAACAACACTACTCCATCTCCCTCTGTTGGACAAACCCACGACACCATACTTCTGAGCGCCGACATCGTCTACGACAAGGACAACAGCACCTTTGATGATATCATCCACAAATCCCACGGTCATGGCTTCTACAATAAGGAAATCGGTCATTATCACATCGTGCCTGATGAACTTATCGATCCCGTTCTCCTCCACTGGGAGGTTGATCACAAGACGTCGACCAATGGCCCTTCTATCCCGAAGTTTGATCCCATTTTTCCCCAGGGCAACACCAAAACCGCTATTGGCTTTGTCCTGAATGACGCCACGATCAACAACGCTCATCCCTTATTCGGTTCTCCCAATTTTTTCAATGCTGGTAACATCAACAACACAACTCTCACCACGGTGACTTTTGCCGCCTGTGAGAATCCCGCTTTCACAGCTTCAGTCGCTACTTCTGGCCATCATCCCGTCACTAAACCGGGCAGTGCTCACTGCAGCAACGCAAAGACTTCGAAAAAGACTATCTCCAAGAGTAACAAAAAGCGTAAGACTGGCGCCAAGCAAGCGGGCTTCCCGAGGGTCCCCGGCATGTGCTACGACTGCAGCGTTCGTCCATTCTAGCAGAACGGCACGAGGAAGTGTTTCAAGTGCGTTGCCAACAGACTAACTGAGCAGATGATGATCAAGATCAAGGCCTGGGCTGCTGTGGGCATCTTGACTTGCACGGATTGCATAAAGCGGCCACAGCGCGCCCCCGGAAAACTTTGTACTCATTGTTATAATGGGGATGATCAGTAGTCCAGGACAGCTTTAGTGTTATCGGTATTTGGAGGAGTGTAATTCGAGGTGCAATGAAAGGTGAAAATGGGGAATGGAATGGGAGCATGAGATGGAGGAGTGTATGGATACATTATATACATGTATTTCTTTCACCGTCGTACCTTCACTATCACCACGTCGTGCCTTCATTCTACCTTAACGTTGATCCGTCCGTTTTTTTCATTACTGTTGCCGATGCAGTGTGACGAACCGTTACAAGCACAGGAGTATTATCGCTGGGATAGAACAATAGAGTAACGGAGTAGTAGCCGAAAGGTACTGGTAGATTGTGATAGCTATTGCTTGCTGAAGAACCGGTAACAAGAGGCCGGGAAGGCCTTCTTTTATACCGGTCTTCATGGACCCGATATACTGGACCCGTGGACCCGAACCTTCGTCTCGGGTCCGATCTGATTGGTCGGCTAGTCTAGTCTCCATGATTGGATCGTAACATGCAGATGGCTGCGACCTGTGTTTTGTGGAGCTGCTAATTCATGCCATGTCCCCACCCATGCCAACAGCATCCGTGATAACATCGGACGATCCTCAGATGAGAGTACTCTGAAAATGTTACATCTTAACCTTGATGACACAACCCCAATCTCCACTTATTCTCTTTACCTTTACCCTCTAAAGACATTCCAGCCAAGCTGTGGGTGATTCCCGAAAATTTGACGTATTTGATGCCAATGTAATTCCCGTGCTAGGACACCAGATCGTCCACCAAACATCGAAAGCCACTTCCAATCGCTCTTCTTTCGGATAAAGCGATCAGTTGAAATGGCCGTCGGAATGCACCACAGCTCCGAAGCCGGCACCATGTCGGTTTCCAGCAAGACGCAGGACACAGAGGGTCCCATGGGCCATCGCGACCCGCATGCAATCGGTACGTAACGGCATGCAATGAACCAATATGCACCTTCCCGACGCAAGAAAGTGTGCACCTTCCAGCATGCATGTCCTGACATACTTGTGGCAGGCGACGTCCTCGGCCGTAGCGTTGACGAATTATACCCCATCGGACCTCTTCTCGCCGACGATGGCGACAACAGCCAACCCTATTCTTACTACCGGCTTGTCCACCAGGTAAGACATCTTCGTGAGAACACAGTCTTGGATCCTATCCGACATCGTGTCTGACCATATTCATCATCAGGTTTTCCGTTCTAGTCTGTCACACGGACATTTGCCCATAGTTCTGGGTTAGGGTTGCCGAGGCTTAGCAGAGCCTCAATGCCTGAAATCAGCCTTATAATGCCCAGCGGCCGTAGGTTGCGAGGCTCAACCTTACTTTGACCAGACCCTCAGCCACCGGCATCGTTTACCTAAGCCCCTCTCGACGCCATCAGGCTAGCGAGCCAACGATCAAACTGCCGACGACGCTAGTAAGCGAGATGAGGCAATCCCCAGTCATCACAAAACCGATTACGGCAACCGAGCAGGAAGCAGGGCGACCAAACAAGGACGGGCGCCAGAAGAAGGAAGTAGAATGGTTGAAGGCACTCAGGAAGATCCACATGTATGAAGATCGCTATATAGATACCCTGAGGCCTCAAGCAACAAGTCTTGGGGTTTGTGGGCACAAGAAGTGTGTTGATTGTGTTAAACTAGGAAGACAAGAAAGGAAAAGAAAATGTGGAGGGCTAAATACATGGTGGTGCGGGCTGGTGGGCCAACATGACAATGTCAGTGAATGGAGGTGGGACAGACCCCACCACAACAACAAGGCTTGATACGTACCTTAGTACGCACCAAACCTCTTTGGCATAAGAAGGCCTTGAAGCCCAGCCTGAATGGAAAGGCTTCAAAGGATTCAACAAGGCTTTCGGGACCAAAGTAGTTTATCAGCGGAATTGAACTACTGTTCCAAGCCCAGAACACTGCCCTTGTCACACAGGGATAGTCGTGGTGATGTATGGTTTAAGGCCAAGTGAAGCCAGTTGGACCTTCAAGGCGCGGGCCCAAGCATCAAGATTGGATTCACCCTTGAGGGGAACCAACGTTGCCGTCGTGTTGTACTCCATAGTGGACGTGTCGTAATTGTAGTCAAGGTCAACAGGTAAGGTCACCAGATTAACGGACTGGATCGTTTGTCGGTCGAAGTCGTAGTGTGCAGGTAGGAGGTTGTACAAACGCCGAGAATCTTCATTCCTCGTGGCGAGTTGTGGTTATGTCGTAAGCCAACGTCGATAAGATTTGTCGGCGGGCGGGGTTTGATTCTTAGATGCGCGCGACGGCAGCGATGCGATACGGCGATACGATCGCGAGTAGAGGGCTCATAACCTCTTGGATTTAGAGGGTAAAACGATGTGTAGATGTGTGTTTGCTCTGGAGAGAAGGCTAGAGTAGAAACGGAAAAGAAGTGTGGAGTGCTAAAATACAGGAAGGATGTGAGGGCATGGACCCACACGACAAGACAAGGGAGGGGTGGGGATATGAACCCACCCGACAACATATACTGTGCACTGCCAAGAACCATGCAGCCATAAGAGCAATGCTGACCAGCGGTTGAGCTGCGCCGTCACAATGGTGGGAACTTGGGCTGGCAGGTCTGGGAGGGTAAGGGTTATGTATGAACACATGTGTGTATCTAGAATACCCATGTGTGACGGTAGAAATCCCCCAAAAAAGACCGCGTGCTTGAGTATCTTCTAAAAGACTGGGGTGGTGGAGCCCGGACTTCGGGCTCCCCGATGCCACCGATACTTTGAGCGTCCCCCGCATGTGATACCGATCGTCGACGGCAGGACCTTATCGTAACCTTGATGCTTCATAAGCCTTGTACTTTCGTCTCGAATCGGAGAGTTATGATCTCCCGGTCTAATGTCCTGAAAGTCATATCATACAGACAAGAAGTGTGGGCTGGCCGACAGTCTCCATTCTCCAACGAGTACATCTGGTCCAAATCAAGTATGTCCCAGTGGGATCGAAGGCCCAATGCACTCCAGTCCCTGGTCGAAGAAATAGTTATCACACAGACATATGGCGCACTTCTGGTGTCATACGAGAAAGACCTACATGTATGCAGATCGCTATCTGACACTACACCTAAAAGTACCGGAACTGATTGATATTCGTTGTTGTACCCATTAAGCTGTGAGCTACCTCTAATTTTCGGGTGAATCCCATCGGTCATCGACCTCAAAAGTTACCTGCTGTCCAATTGCCACGAAACTGTTGTCACAATACCCGATCCATTGCGTTTGGGGTGATTTGTTGGGTATGATTCGCTGTAGAGGCCTTGTGGCTCACATCACACTTCCCTTGCTTCACTTCTACTTCTTCAATTCAAAGTTCCCTCCCCTGATATACCCGTCATAACGGCTAGCCATAACCACAGCGCTTCCCGTCATCGTGAAATGCGTCCAAGCGTAGCAGTCCGAGCCAAGTTCAAGTTCCCTCACCACGAGACTTGCGGATCAAATTGCCGACTTGTTTCCACTTTCAAACATGGAGCTTGTTCGCAAGATGGGGAAGGAAAGAGCGCCCGCAAGGCGCCTTCTAGACGCGCGCGCTACTGCGAGCTTGCACGCCACCATCGTACATGAAGACCTTTTGGCATTGAGGGTTGCCCACGTAAAGGACCTTACCCGCGGCCCTGATCATCTCTCTGATTTCTTCCTCATTTATGTCAGGTTCAACGTCATGGAGGGCCAGAACGGCATGTTTGTTGGCATCAGGATGGGGTTTAGGCGGACCATAGTCACCCTCGGGACCCGCTTCGGCGGGAACAACGAGAGGAGGCAGAGGCGTCTGCTGGACTTGATGTTCCTGGATGAGGGTGATGGGTTCCTCCCCTCTAAGAACTTGAAGATAAGCAGGAATATGTGGGTTGTCGAGTTCCTGGGCACCAACAGAATTTTAAGGGTGCTGGTAAAGACTGCCCTGGTCGTTCATCATACCGTAGACGGGAAGTGATGTTGGAGCTTATTGTCACACGGACATTCGACCT